AGAACAACTGGAAACTAGGAAACAGTAGACAGCTATTTCTTCCTAATTTGGGGCTCTTCAGAAGTCCACAGCCATATTCCACCTGAATCAAACGGCCCTTAAATTCAAACTTCTATTGGTATGTGATATATCGCCATTCCAATCACATATCATGGGCCACTATATGTCATCGCATTGGAGTTGATAAGATTGTTCGTTAGGAATCCAGGAAGTCAGTCACTATCAAGTAGTAGATTATATCTCAAGTGTTTGGTTGTGTGGAGATTCACAACATCCGTTTGTGGCGACATCTAGCATGAAAATAAGCAGTGTATTTTACACTGTTGACACAATCAGATTTGTTTCAATAACTCATGTTGTTTCAAATATTTGTGACGATTTCCATATAAGATACTGAATATTATTGTATGCAGTTTAGAGTAGATGAGAAAATCACATGTTCAACATGAATGGATAATCAAACAGGAAGTTTACACAGAAAACAGATATTGAAGATTTCAGAAAATACGATGAAGTCTACAAATATGGAGAGGAACTCAGGACCAAAATTTGGGGTAAACCATGACTGGTAGAATAAGGGAAAAGGACTTCATTAATGACTGATACGACATACTTCCAAGACTGATGACCGTTGAACTGGATAAGTTTTACACAGGACTACAGCAATAACAGTGGATGCTGTTTACCGATAAAAACAGAAAATGCTCAGAACCTATTTCGTTTAAATGAGTGAATGTCTGGTTACTTCAAGCCCCTTCGTTCGTTGTCTTTTTTATTACTACTCCATCTGTTCGTTTTCTTATGCTACACCTCCACTTTTCATGTTAGCGACTGTGATTGAAAATGAACGACAGGAAGTTTTGTTTAGTGATATTCTTCAAACAGGTGAATCTGCAGTCTTGAGGAGACATTCGCCTCCCCAGACCATAGAATACGTCATTCGTAAGTTCGTACTAATACCACTTGAAGTGTCTTCTGAATGGAAGGCTAAAAATACTGATAATATGGCAAGATGGAATTTAAAAAATCTGTGTTGAGACAGGATTTAATCTTGTGGCTTCTCTCAATCACTTGTAACACTTCACTGGTATTTTCAACGTGAAATGGTTGATCTGGTCATTATCTTAACTTTCTGTTAAGCAAATATCAATTTAAAAGTCAAGGTAATATTGAGAAATCTGTCCATTGGGTAGTACATGTAACGAAACAGATCAGGCGATCCAGTATAAAGACCCTATGTGGAAGTTATCGTTCTAAAGGAATAACAATAAATCATACTTATCACACAAAAGGTGTAGCTCATGGTCGATTGATTATCTTACTGAATAATATTTGGAAATATGCATTTCCCTCTACGAGTTTACACCAAGCAAGAAAGATCAATAAAGAAGGATTGAATGAATTCACCAAATTTCAGTGGAACTCTTCAGCTGAATGCCCTATGTACAAGGATATATATACATATACTATTGGAAATATACTGGGAGATATAAAACTGACAAGCAAATAAACTACATTGAATTAATCATGCAGCACGACACATGTGAGTGTGTTTGAACACTTTGACACTTCAAACTGCGTATATGAAACTGATGAGTGTATTTGTGAAAGCAAATGCATAGGTCATACAGAAAGGCAATCGCCTACTCTCATGATGGATCATTTGCCGAAGTGGTTGAAAACAGCTGAAGTCAAAGTGACAGAAAGTTCAATAGCAAAGTATCTTGTGGACTATGAACATGATATTGACGCTGTAAAGTCATACACCGTTGTCAGCACACAAAGATACGGGAAAGTGCTTGCAATTGCAGAGACCCATGCAATTAGCTTTTTTCTAAACCACGCTGTTGTGTGCAGAAGGAAATGTTTGTCACTTTCAACCTACTATGGTAATATGTCTCATTTATTAACTGTTGTTATTATTATTAATTTGTTCCACCTCTCATTATTATTCCTGGTTCTCAAGTATTAGATTTTTAGGGACATTGTTTGATTAATTGGACATCATTTAGAGAACCAATGGAAAACCTGGGAGTACTGGACAGTCGTTTCGTCCTAGTTTGGGACTCTTAAGGCGAAGGTGGGGCAGTAACTCACCAAAGAGGACACTGCGAAATGGTCGCATTATGTCATGAATTGGCAGAAGTAAGAATTCATGGGCTGGCCATTGTATCGCGTTCCAGTGGCCTAGTGGTCTACGAGCTCACCTTATTTCTGATTCATATAAAACTATCATTTGTCATTAGCATTATCTTAACTTTTTAGCATTACTATTATTATCAGTGTCATTCAGTTCGCAATTCTTAAAATATTTAAGTTCTTTGTCTGATGACTAATTGTTTATCTACGTGATGTAATTAAACCGTAATACATTTTATTTTAATTTTATTCTCTCATACTCATTTCCATTTGCCTATTTGAACATGACTCGAAAAACATTTATACTCGTAGTTTTTCATGATTAAATCAATGTAGTTTATTTGCTTATCAGTTTTATATCTCCCAATGTATTTCTGATAGTATAGACATATATATAACCCTGTATGTAGAGTATTCAGCTGATGAGTTCTATAGAAATGTGATGAATTCATTGAATCCTCCCTTACTAATCTTTCTTGAGTGTGTTTTAAATAATGTTTCATACGCAATCAGGGCTTTTTTGGCGAACACCACCACCCATGTGATTACGACCAAGGAACAATCCTTGCTAAAACATTCCTCCTGTTCCATTTTACATGCTTGTGGTTGCATAGCATTGTGCAATTATCAGTCTCCTTCCTTTTGAGCTGAATCTGGCAGTCATTATCCTGGGCGAGGTCAATTTCCATTGTATCACGGCCTTCACTGTTGTTGGTGACATCATGATAGCCACGACCACAATGTGCTCATTCATGGTTGTCTTCTGGGTGATCAAAGTAGATCACTGGAGAGAGTACCACTTCCATTCCTTCAGAATTATATCTCTCCATCTCATTTGCAATCTGGGCAACTTTACCAGTCTCATACATAATGCGGACGTTCCATGTCTGCATGCATACTTTTTCTTTCATCGCCAGAAGACTGACTCATAGTAATGAAGTTTCTGTAGCAGTTTTATTGATAAAATAAATTATAACATTCCATTTTATATGTAAATTATGTACTTTGATAAATATTAGTTATCACTTTTTAGTTACGTTGACAAATTCTCACTCATTCCCTATCGATCATATGAACTTGTTGAACTAAATTATTTGTTGTCATCATTGTGTGTGTGTGTGTGTATTTGTGTATCGTTAACCTTATAAACTGATATTACTGTGTGTACGGTATTCAGCTGACGAGTCTTATCGAATTGATTAAATACTCTTTTTTCATATTTGTTACTTGTTTTAAATCTAACCACAGGGAAAATCTGTTTCCAGTATACTACCCTTAACTTTCCACTGGCTCAGCTAAAACCTACAGATTGATAGACTAAAAAAGGAAACGACTTCTTCCATGAGACAGATACTGCTAACCAGTAGATGAAAAAATACTTTTTTTTTATTACAGCTTGATTCCACACCGTATTTTTGGTACAAGTATGGAATTTTCAGCATGGATATCGGTAGCCCAAATTTCGCAGGCCGACCATAGATATCAGGTGTGCGTCGGCGTGGGCTCGAACCCCGGACCATATGCATGGTCGGCGAGAGTCCTAACCACTGTGCCACCGACAGACTGTTCAGATTAACAATCAAGTGGTTGAAAATTGAGTGTTCGTGGCATACTTAATAGTAGAAAGTTTTGTTTCAGTGGGCACATGCTGCCAACTAAGTAAAAGAACCACAAGCCAGTTGCTTCACTCCTTCAGTTGACCAGAGAATACAACTGTTTATGCGGACCAATCGTCAATGACTAGACAGTATGAGAAGAACGGAAAGTAGTGTAGTAGAATTAGAGACACCCAGCTACAGTTTACAAATTTCTTCAAAGTCCCATCTAAGATTCGACCATACTTCACAGAGGGAATGAGACCAACTGATATCTGCGTATAGCTGAAGCATTGTCCATTCTTATATGTATCAAGAAAAAAGCACACACAGCCTTTGCTTTTACAATGGTCATGATAAACAGTCTACATTTTCAATAAAAACAACAACAAAATATTCACTATCCGACCATATTTTATATCCGAGTTTCATGTTTAGTTTCCTGACTGTTATATGCTTAATCTCTGTTTGTATTACCTAACTTCATCTTGTTATTTGTTATATTTTGACCACTGACCGGCAGTAGTTCTGGGACTTTCTTACCCCTTAATATATATATATATATATATATATATATACGCCACCTAACCGACGACTTCATCTAAAAGCGAAATTTCTCTTCGCTGAAACTGTCCTTTTAATTCTATCTGTGATCTAATGGGCAAATTGCTCTGTTTACATTGTCAGTTAATAATGGATAAATATAATCAAGAATTATATTTGCCTATTGACAGCTGAGTCGGTCATTCACGTCCTAGAATGTCTGTCAGTCATCAGCGTGATCTGGAGTTCCATTTCCATACGACTCAATCATATACCTCTCCTAGCCTTTAATAAGTCCGGAGGAAAAGATGGTAGTCTAGGCGATGAAGCCAGCAAACTCATCTCGTAAAAACAAATGGAATGAAAAGCAGGTAGTAATTAATAAAAGCTGATCAGCTACGATTGTACACCAGGCTAATGGAAGACATAGCTTATCTGTTTAAGCACTCAACTTCAAACCAATAGGTTTGGGGGTTCGAACCTTGAGTCAGCTACTTCAGCCTAGGCAAACTGGGTAGTATACCCTCAGACAATAAGTGGGAATTATATTATATTCCGAAACCGGATGACAAAGTTATAATAAAAATTAAATATTAAATAAAATATTACTGTAGGTTTCAGCTAGATGATACTTTATATTTAAGTGAATTGAAAATAAATTCCAGAAATGATAATGAGATAATTAGCTGGTGTTGTAAACTGACTCAAAAAGACACAACTTACCAATGGCATAAAACCGAATTGACAAAAAAATCCAATAACTACAGGAATTGGCCGTTTAAAGTGATTACGCATTGAAGGTACTTCTAATTCACAACCCATAGTAAATGTAAATAAAGTCACCATAAATATAACAAAAATACGAAATATTAAATAACCGGTTCCTTTGTATTTGACTACAATAACTGGAAAACCCATTGAATTATTCGTATCATCATTATTTTGAATAATATTTGATGAAACATTTGAAATAGAATTTACTGAAAGACTATTGAAATAATGTTTGCGGAAAGATTCAGAATCATTAGCAAACCATGAAATAGGAATTCCATATCCAGGAATTGTGTTAGCCTTCCGAATCCAAAATATCAAGTAATCTAAACCCAATAGTTTTGGCATTATATACACAGTGATATTGATGTTATTCTCTTTTATTGATGGTGGTAACCAATGCCAAGATCGATTGACTAACTCCACAGATACTGTGAAATCCATATCATACGATAAAGCTAAAGGAACAGGGCTACTGTATTTAACCATACAGGTAACCTGCCTAACATTATAATCATCCACAAATTCTAAGTCACTTTTTGGAATGCTTATTGTAACATGAATGGATTGACCATTGTCGGAATATTCATAAGTATACACTGAAAAGTTGGAGGTGTTACTGACATGATGAAGACGAAATTTTTCGCGTATCTGTTGAATTTCTTCGTCAAATATTAAACCGAATTGTTGTGGAGGTGTTTCTTTGGTTGGCAATGCATATAGAGAATGCAAAAAAATGACAGTAATAACACCAAATAGTGATGATGACGACCAGGAGTACATCAGCCTGGTAAACATTATGACCACCGTAACATAGTAGAGGCGTATATATTATTAGTTTGCTACACGCGTATAGCCTTAAAGGATGCGAATCTGATAAGCTGGCTGTTCGTAACAAACATGCCGTTTCAAGGTTATAAAAATCACCAAATGATATTTTCACGATTTCGATTGGTCATGATAAATCAGTTAAACTAACATATTCACCATAAAAGTCACGAGATGATGCCCATTGGTTAACTTATCAGGTCATGGTGAGAGAAAAAATATCGATTTGTGGTTTATTCATAATATGGTCATAACCATTCATATTTACTACTTAATTTCTATTGGACATTTTCATGTGAATAAAAGCTTCGAAACGCCTGAAGGGATATTGGTAAACAATTGTCACTTAATCATCACATTCAGCTTACTTTTATGCTTGCCATTGATTTTGCTCAAATGGTATAATTTGCCTTCAATATTAGTTTGTTTATTAGATATATCACACACACAGTGAAACAGTATTATTTACTGGATGACGTTTCGAACACAGTTTATTGTTCATAATCATGTCATCAATTGTGATCACACGACTTTGAAACTTGAGTTTTATAGTTTTCTTTGCCTATGATTTTCCTCACTTTACCAGCTATCCATTGGTAAAAACGACATTTTTACACTGAATTAATTTGGTGCATGGTGTCTAACACTGATGGAATCCAGGATGCTCATTTCGTCCTATTTGGGACTTGTCACATGGATGTACTTGGGGAGTTCCGCAGTGTTTCTACCAAGACTCGACTCCAATATCCATTGGTTCCAGCTCCAAGGCATTATCCACTAGACCATCTGAGTGCTATCCTTTGTGCATCGGTAATCATTTATTATTTGTTATCATCCATCAGACATCGTCGAAGCGTACGTAAAAAGAGCCGACATGTTAGCTGACGCTGAACAATTCCGTTCGATAAATCAACAGGAAAATAAAAATTGAAGTGACAACAAAGAATATATTTACATTTCAGAATTCCAAGGTTATTCTACTGTGTTCTAGTGGCTGAACGATCAGCCATGTCGTCCTGTAATCTAATAATCCTACATTCTATCCTTGGTGGATTCATGGGTGCGCACCGCCGAGGAGTTCCGAAGAAGGGCAATTTAGAACTGTCCAGTACTCCGTATTCGTTTTCATTGGTTCTCTAACTAAAGTCAGTTGATGATTCAAGTTAAGATGTTCACATTTGCATTTAGTTGGTCATTGTTTTGTAGTAAGAATAACTGATATGTAAATCCAACGCCTTAAGTGACTGTTAACAAAACTGCTTCCTTTAAATATTTCTCTTGAGTATATTCAAATATCCGGGTTTTACCAGAATGTTCTAAGACTGAATTCAGGGAATACAGTGATTTGAATTCAAATGAACTGTCGTCAAGATCTGACAGAATATTTCTAAAATATTTAGGCGCCGAGTGAGAAGTAGACATTTGTAAAAAAAATTATATTTATAAAATCTCAGCGAGATTGAAATGAGTAATTCCAACGTTTCGTTCGGCAATCTGGTACGAACTTCTTCAGTGAAAGTAATCGAAATTAACATAACAGAGGTTTCATATATAAAAAGAAAATCTCTTGTTTTTGTAAAGCTTTGTCCAATCATGAGTCATGGAACAGGTATCAGCATGTATAATAAACAAAATTGTACGAGTTGTGATCAAAATTTGACATTGGACTTACAAATATTGGTCTACCTTTATTAAACACTTTATACAGAGTGTGTATGTGTGTGTGGGTAAATAGTTGTAAAACATTTGTTAACGTCTGCATAAGGAGATATAGACAGTCGGGAAACTTTGACCAAGTATTATTAGTTAGTGATACATATTCATTTTTATTTATTAATCAGGATTTCCTGTGCGTCAGCTAACATCACACCTTCATGTCTGTTCAAACTGTTAGTATCTAGAATTTTATGATTAGACGTATTTTCAAAATTATGGTGTTTAGTATATGAGTTTAGTTGAAGAACTCTGTCAAACCTATTACTTTGTCTTTTTTCTGAAAATTGAGGTACTTTATTCGACCTACTGGAGTTGTCGGGTGATTCGATAGCTACAGATTTAGGATATGCATTCTGTCGCAGACAACGGAGAGCGAGAACACGATGATTTTGCCGATTACCTAGTTTCTTTGTTAATTTAATTCGATCGCAAAATAATTCAAATGAATTGTCGTCAAGATTAGACACAATAGTTCTAAAATATTTTATGACTCATGATTGGACAAAGCTTTACAAAAACAAGAGATTTTCCTTTTATATATGAAACCTCTGTTATGTTAATTTCGATTACTTTCACTGAAGAAGTTCGTACCAGATTGCCAAACGAAACGTTGGAATTACTCATTTCAATCTCGCTGAGATTTTACAAATATAATTTTTTATAAGTGATTTGAATTGTTTACTGGGACATGAAAGTTATCAGTCATTGGTGGAAATCGTCAATGTTGTGTTGTCTTTTACACAGTTCGGCTACAATCTATGAATGTGGGAGATATCTAACCATGGTGTCAGCGTGAAATCTAGTTAAAAATAGAGAGTCTTGAACTGTTTTTTCTCTCTATACATATCCAACTATTCACTCACTGTAAAGTTCAGCCGACAGAACACCGATTCAGTGATATGAAGGACTGTTGTTCGAATAGTTCAACAACCTAAACAGTTAATTCACCAACAATAAACCTCCTCATATTCACTTTGTATTTAAAGACATTTAATAGGGAATCAATGTAATCCTCATGCGGCTGCTTTTCGTGACATACCTTAAAGAAGTTGGGTAATCGTGAAATCATAATAACTCTGACATTGTTCATTTAAAACAGTTCTAACAACAGTCAGACAAAGGCATCTTCTTCTTTTCAATCCATAGACATAAATCAGCTCTATCGAGGAGCTGAATGGTAATTTAATATCTTTATTCTTCAAATGTGACGTTCTCAAGTTGTTATTAAATTTACCAGCTTCGATAAATATGTAACTGGGGCTTGTCTTAAGTTATTACTATTCAGTTAGGTTCCTAGGGCTTCAACCGCAGACCTCTAGTTCATCCTGTTTCCTGCAGAAGTCTTTGGCTGGCTGCACGATTATCCATAGGCTCTCACTTTGTCCTCATACCTTCGAACCAACGTCTGACTAATAATTTCCCATTCAGGTTCCACTCTAAAGCATGACATACGATATCACTCAATAAACTCTTCAGTGTGTATCCGACTCATTTCTATTTTATAAGGTGTATTTATTGGGCTGCTGGTTCCTATTTGCAGGATTTCCCCATGAGCTGACATTGTCTAGAGAAACATTAGGAAACCATCTGGGAGTACTAAACAACTGTTTCGTTTTGTAGTTGACTAAACAGCTGAGTTCGTCTATACGCGAATTGAAAAAGACAAAAGGAATACAAACATACAGATGTTCATCACACGTAAGAGATGCCAACGGCGGGAGGACACTTTCGGAGAGAAAAAGAGATTGGAGCAAAAGATCCTAATATAGATGTACTGATCAGGTATGAGGCAGAGTTGATTGGTAGATGTGGAGAGTGAGAAGCTGGAGAGGGAAGAAGTATCGTCCGTACTGCTCTCGGAACCAGGTAGTGTCCTTGTTCAATCTCACATAAGAACCATGATTTTCTGTGAATTCCTTATTTTCACTATTTTTCCGGTGAACGTATAATTCGATATTTTCGACTGTCACACGTTCTTAATTTGGATTCTTTTTCAGTACGCACCTACTAAAGGGGTTTGAACCTAGGACCTACCGCTTACAAGGAGAGTTCGTTGGCTATTAATCAAATCCCTGTAAACCAACAGTTGAATATGAATTGGTTCTAGTTTTCAGTCTGAAGCTAAGGCGTCTGTTCATAAAAGTTTGAAGCCTGTTCGAAATGCATTTTAGTGACATGATAGATTAGTGATACACTTGTTTTAAAACATTCATTTTTAATTCTTAAGAAGTAGATAACACATTTTTCTTTCTTTTCTACCAACTGAAATAAAACTGAAATAATTGTTGAAGATGTTAATTTCTCAAAGCAATGATGATCACAAGGGATGAGTAAAAAGGGAAAAGATTAACTCCAGTGACATCATCACCACAGTCTTAACACTCTACATACTACAAATCAAATGTAAAACGCCCTTCGCATCATTTCCCCCTCGCCTTGAGTGGTGAGACAAACTACATAGAAGCTCGCTGAAGTTCAGTAACTTTCAGCTCATAGTAGTAATAATAACATCTTTATTCTAAACAGTATTTATAAAATGTACAGAATTTTCAGAGGAGTTTATTGCATGATATTTTACCCTTGCCACAATATCTTCAAATAAAATGTTAGTTGACAGTATATGCCTCCTGTGACTCAATGGTCTTTGAGCTGAAGCACACACCATTCCATTATGATATATCTGCTTTGTCTCCTTCAAGAAATCCATCCACGATATCTAGCTGGAAGCCGATTGCAAGATTTTCAGAAGTACATTTTGAGCTCTAAGGACACAAGTGAGTGATAGTTACCTCTCATGTGCTGGAACAGACCGCAATCAACAATCAGGTCTTTTATCAACTTTAGTAGGAACTTGTAAATCAGAAGCTTGTAAGCACTTTAAATATGCACAAGAGTAGATAATACTATTAGAGGTAATATCTTAACTGTTTAAAACAAAACGAACGAGAGAAAATATATGTAACAGTAAGCTGGAAGTTTTTGGCAGCCCAAGTTTTAAGCAAGCCACCTTTATATCAAAAAATGAGCCCAAAGAAATCAATTTTGATTTCTACTAACTTCGAAAAACATTGATGGTTGTCTTAGATTTAAAGTTTATAAGTTATTCAAGTGTCGGTTTGTAGGGATTTGATTTGGTTACAGGATTTCATCATGAGCTGACATTAGTTAGAGAACCAGAACCCAGGACCTCCCAGTTACAAGGCGAGCTAGCTCGTAGACCGTTAAGCCATTGGGACCCGATCCAATGGTCCTTGAATTCTTACTTCTGCCAATTCACGACATAGCGCAACCGCCAGCCAATGTTTTCGACGAGTATTTGTCCTCACACCCAACCTGCTGCAGCCTACTGGTCACGACTTCTCAATAGAA